CACGTGTGAGCGGAGCGCAGCAAAGGTGGGAACGGCAGGAGCGGCGGCGCAGCGCACCTTGGATGTGGCTGGCGTTGTGCAGCACACTCTCGGCGATCATCACTCCACTGCATGCACGCCCGGGGGACACAGAGGGCACAGCCATGGGGTTGGCCGCAATGACCAGGGCGAATGTCCACACAGGCGGAAGAGGAAATGGGCGGCACACGAGGCCGACAGGCGAAAGCAAAAGGGTCAAGGGGGGTGAGGGGGGCGGGAGATGTGGCGAGCACAGCACAGCGCATTGGTGCGAGTGAGAGTACCTGAGCACGAAGATGAGCGTGTTGGCGATGTATGCCACCATCTCCCTGCATGGCATGGCACCACACACGCACATGGCAGATGGCGCCCACACATGCACGTGAGTGTGAACGACCCGCTGTGGCAATGAAGTGCGAGACATGACATGAGCAGGAAGAGACGAGCGCATGGCCTCACCAGAAGCTGTGCATGTTCTTCTCTCACCAGAAGCTGTGCATGTTCTTCTCTCACCAGAAGCTGTGCATGTTCTTCTCTCACCAGAAGCTGTGCATGTTCTTCTCATTCTCCCCCGTGAATGCTGTCTTGGCGAATATGGCAAACATGCTGCCATGCACATGCCACATGCCACATGCCACATGCCACATGCCACATGCCACATGCACACAGTTATGAGCACTTGTGAGAGAAGCTGCGACAAAGCTGGAATGAAGCCGATTAATCAGAGCAGAGAAATATGCAGCAGAAGGATGAGTGCGTTGGGCGGGAGGGCACTGACATGCCGAGGGTCATATCGGACATGACTCACATGCCGAGGGTCATATCGGACTTGACTCACATGCCGAGGGTCATATCGGACATGACTCACATGCCGAGGGTCATATCGGACATGACTCACATGCCGAGGGTCATATCGGACATGACTCACATGCCGAGGGTCATATCGGACATGACTCACATGCCGAGGGTCATATCGGACATGACTCCAGACATGTTGGTCACTGCGTTGGCCTGCATGCAGGGGCGAGGGCAGTAGAGACGCACATGGGGGTGGCGGTGGGCGTGGAGGGTGGGGAGGGGGGAGCGGTTGGGGGAAGCTGCGAGGGAGTGCGGGAGGATGGAGAGCAAGGACAGGCGAGTTTGCCAAGGAGTGGCATGGTGAGTGAGTGAGAGAGGACATGCGGGGACAGGGTGCGCGAGAGTGGTGGCACGGCAGGGTGCGCGAGGGTGCGGGGATACATACGACGAAGAAGGCCATGTAGGAGCCGCAGATGGTGATGGTGATCTCGATGATGTAGTCGTTGAAGACGGTGCGCAGCCACAGCAGACTCACCACCCCGAACGCCATTCCCAGCGCTATGCTGCCCGCGCATGGCAGGGGACAGGGGTGGATGGACGGGGTCATGGGGACGAGCGAGGCGCAAGAGTGTTGGGGGAGAGTGATTGGGGAGGGTGAGGAGGAAGATTGCAAGGGGAGAGTTCAGAGTGAGTGAGGAGAGTAAGGGGGAAGGGTGGGCTGGGCGGAGGCGAGAGCGTGGTGGGCATTGCTGACGGACGGGCAACAAGAGAACATGGGACGGGCTGGGATGGCAGCACATTGGGGCGGAAGGCATGCGGAGCGGAGCAGGGCGGGCGGGCAGGCAGGCAGGCAGGCAGGCAGGCAGGCAGGCAGGCAGGCAGGCAGGCAGGCAGGCAGGCAGGCAGGCAGGCAGGCAGGCAGGCAGGCAGGCAGGCAGGCAGTCAGTCAGGCAGGCAGGCGGGCGGGGGGCACGGACCCGCCAAAGAAGACGCGGCACATGAAGGCGACGATGCCGCCCGGTGTAAAGGTGTAGCCCAGCACGAGCTGCAGGAAGAGCTGGAATATGGCGATGGCCGCCCTGCCGTGCAGGATGACAAGGGAGAGGACGAGGGGACGACAGATCGGGGGAGAGGGCACGGGGAGGGAGAGGGGCAGGCAGGCAGAGAGTGTTGAAGGCAGGGACGATGATTCCGCATGCCATGCCACGCCCTGTGCCCTCCATCCATGCAGTGCTCCCCATGACATGACCCCCATCCGTATACCATGCCATGCCATGCCATGCCATGCCATGCAATGCCATGCCATGCCATAACCAGGCCTCGTCACTCCATCATGCGCCCTTGGCCCCTCACCCATCGTTCATGAGTGCCTCGCCATCAATGATGGTGCGCAGCTTCTTGGAAGCACCCAGCTCCTTGAGCAGCGCGACGACGGCGACAGGGTCCGTGGTGCTGAGCACGCTGCCCAGCAGCATGGCCGTGCTCCATGTCCAGCCGTACGGCAGCACACACTGCCGGGCCGTGCCGTGCCGTGCCGTATGCAGAGGGGAGGACGAGGCCGACAAGGGGGGCAGCGGAGAGAGAGGGGGAAAGGGGGGATACTTGTGAGTAAGCAGCGTGTGGTGCGGAGAGAGAGGGGGGGGAGAGGGGAGAGAGGGGGAGAGAGGTGGAGTGAGAGAAGGCGAGGGGAGAGAGGGGAGAGAAGGGGAGGGAAGGGGAGAGCGGGGGCAGTGTGGAGTGACCAAAGAGCAATGTGGTGCTGCAGCTGCGGCATGCCATGATACACAGGGGCAAGCGTACCTTGCAGATGACACCGAGGGGCAAGCGTACCTTGCAGATGACACGGAGAGGGGCAAGCGTACCTTGCAGATGACACGGAGGGGCAAGCGTACCTTGCAGATGACACGGAGGGGCAAGCTACCTTGCAGATGACACGGAGGGGCAAGCGTACCTTGCAGATGACACGGAGGGGCAAGCGTACCTTGCAGATGACACGGAGGGGCAAGCATACCTTGCAGATGACACGGAGGAGCAAGCGTACCTTGCAGATGACACGGAGGGGCAAGCGTACCTTGCAGATGACACGGAGGGGCAAGCGTACCTTGCAGATGACACGGAGGGGCAAGCGTACCTTGCAGATGACACCGAGGGGCAAGCGTACCTTGCAGATGACACCGAGGAAGCCAGTGGTGATGGCGACACCCGGCACTGCCAGCAGGAAGATCTGAAACATGCACCGCTGCCAGGGGAAAGGGCGGAAGCGCGGAATAGCAGGGGAGAAACCGGAGGGCGGGGAAGAGAAGGACGAATGAGCACGTGGTGCAGAGACAGCACAGCGAGCAACGCAGCAGAGCAGCGAGGGGGGCGCACCTTGATCTGGTGCAGCTCGAAGGCGAAGGCGCTCTCGAAGAGCAGCGCGGGCAGGAAGACGAAGAAGATTATGTTCGGCTCTATCGCCGCCCCTGCGCGCCGCATGGGGGAGGGGTGCGCCATGGGGCAGGCAGGGGAGGAGAGAGGGAGAGAGGGAGAGAGGGAGAGAGGGAGCGAGGGTGGCGAGGATGGATGGTAACGCAGCGTCGGAAGGCGGGGGGTGGTGCGCGTGTCGCAGCGGGAAACTAGGAAAGAGCGGCGTGAGAGGGGCGGAATTGGTTGGAGCTGGCGCGGGCCTCGGCAAACGAGGCGAGTGAGTGCGCGCCGGGCGAGTGAGTGCGCGCGGGGCGAGCTAGTGCGCGCGGGGCGGGCGGGACCTACACATGCGGATGCTATCGCCGAGCAGCCCCAGGTCCACGTAGAACTCTGCGCGTGGGGGAGGGTTGGGGGGAAAGGGGGAAGGCGCAGGGGGAGGGGTACTGTGAGTGCGCGCGAGCGTGTGCGAGAAAAAGCGAGCGCGGAGGACGAGGAGGGGACGGGCACGCGAGGCAGGCGCGAGGAAGTCGGAGGGGACGAGTACGTTCCGGGCAGCTCTACCAGCTCGCGGCTGCTGCAGCCACCCACGCCCGCTGCTGACGCGCCAAGCGACGTCGACGCTGCTGCTGGACGCACGGCGAAGGTCAGCGGCGACGTTACTAGCGCGCCTCTGACAAGCCTACTGGTGAGGCTCCTGCATAGAATTCTAAGTTTGGATGAACTGAAGGGCGTGAGGCGCTTTGGTAGAATTCGCCTTGCGACGGACAGGCCTACGACCGACGCTCCCGCTCTCTGCCTACAAATGCCACCGCTGTTGCCGCTGCTCTCCCGAGGCCGCACCAGGCAATGCGCAGGCTTACCCCGCCGTGCGCGGCAGGCTCACCAAACGCGCCGAGCGCGATGCCGACGAGCAGCAGCGCGACGGTGTACGGCACGCGCGTGTTGTTGAAGATCTGCCGGCACAGCGCGCCGAGCGCCAGCGACACGGCCATGAACAGCAGCGCCACCTCCCCGCCCGGCACGTAATTCGCCGCACCCATGGCGCCCGCGGCTCTTGCGCCGCTCCAAACGCGCGAGTGCGATTTGCGGGACTAGAGTGGCGCGGGGTGAATTGGAAAGCGCCTATACGCCGCTCTACGCGCTGATTGCGCGACTGACGCGGTCACGAACGTTCATAACATTAGCGCGTGAACTTGGCCGCGTATTTGGGGCAACAGAAAAACAGTCTCGTGGAGGGTGGGAGAGGAGTGAAAAGCGATGAAGCACATACAGTACAGTACAGCAGCATGCAGTGATGAGGTGGAATGACTTTTCATTCTCGGCGCTTTGCACGACTCGGCTTGGCACGGGTAGAGTGGCCTCCACCACATGAGCCTGCCCTCTTTTTGTTTTCACCATCTTTCCCAAGTGCCCAACCACCCATGACAGCGACTTGCCTGCGAAAAACGTTCATGATGAAACAAAACTGTCCTGAACATATTTTCTCGTTGCCCAGAAGCTCTCGGATTGCAGCAACGAGTGGTTGAGGTTCGTTGAATGTGGGGTGTTCAGGCGACATCCTGTGAAAGACTGCCAGCGCATCAATTGCCCCTTGGCCTTAGCATTTCTGCAACATCATTGGCTGGCGACCACCATTCATTGTTCTGATTTCCACGTCACCCCACCCACATCCAACCAAACAATAGCCGAACTTCAGCTGCAAACCAGTATATTTCTGTTGAATGCTTGTAATAAATGCACATCATGTAATAGCCTCAGCTGAAAGAAGGGTTTCTTACATGGTTTCGAGCTTAACCGTAACGGTACACACTTCCTCATCTTCCCTTGCCTTCCGCACAGCACGGTAGCATAGCCATGGCACTCACTCGCCGCCTTACTTCGCCGTTCCCCCTGCGCGTGTGTTTCGGCGCTGTCTACAGCTCGTTTTCCACCTCCATCCCATCCGCCCCTCCGTTCGCCGCCCCGCACGGACTCCCGTATGCGTCAAGTTGCGCCGCGACGCAGCGATCAGATCAGCCAACCCTTCCGTGCGCGGCGTACGATCTCGAGCAGCAAGGAAACGCAGCGGAGCCGTTGATTCACCCTGCCGTCCCCGTCGCATCCGGCCCTTCCGTTTTACCCCCGCCACATTCAAGATTGACGCCAGACGATGCGAATCGATTCGCGGTTATGGCGGTCCCTAAGAGGAAGGTACGCAGCAGTTTCCACTGCCTCGTGGTTGCATGCAATCACCTTGCTACGTCCATCCGACTGTGCCTGCGTGTGCCTCTCGCCCCTCGTGCCATCACGTGCAGGTGACGCCATCTCGGAAGGGCATCAGGAATGGACCCAAGGCGCTCAAGGCTGTGCCGGTGGTGGTGAGATGCCTGTGAGTGAAACAGAAATGCATGCCACCTCCCTCCATGCATGCCACTCGTCCCTTGGCAATTGCTTGTCTCCCACCACTCCCCACCATACCACAACCCCTCATGCCAATCCATTGCGTCCTTTCCCTTGGGTGCAGGAGTTGTGGGTGTGTGAAGCTGCAGCACCAGTATTGCTGCAAGGATGGGGACAGGCACCGCCAGCCAGCTTCGGAGTAGGGCTGTGCTCCTCCAGCAAGCTAGCTATTAGGTGGGAGTTGAAGCAATTATGGACAGCACCTCAAGACTTTATGCCACCAGATCTGATGAATCCCAGCAGATCTTGCCTTAGGCTAAGCCTCTGCCCAGCACGCTAGCCCTGACACAAAGTTCTTGAATAAATATGTCAAGCTATTGCACAACGCAAACAAGCCAGTTCGCCAAGTTCCAGCTTCTCTAGTGCTTCATATGTACCTATGAGCTACTGTACTTGATGCATTCCATCTTAGCGGACCATGCTGTGCTGTGCTCGCCACATCTGCTGCATACCCTCTCAGCAGGACAGGCTAGAGCGTGTGTCAGGAGTCAAATGGGTGGCACCACGTGCTTCGCCTGTCACCGCATGGGCTGGAAGCCAGCGGCAGGCACTAAGCACGTGGCGCACAGGTCAGCATCTCGGGCGCAGTCCTCGCAGTCTGGGGTGAAGGGGTGATGGTGATGGCAGGTGGGGGGGCAGAGGGACACAGCAAGTACGGTACCGGTATGATTGGCATCATGCAGAGGTATGCTTGAGTTGCGAGAGCCAACTGTGAGTGGGAGGAAGAAGAGTGCTGTAGGAGACAAGAAATTCAAGAAACACACAAGGAGCATAGAGGGCAACAAAGGGCAGCAGCACTGATTGCAAAGCAGAAAGTTGCAGAGACAGAGAGCAGTGCACAATGTGATTGCAGTGGTGCAAGTCCACACGTGATGTGTGCAGCACATGTGCTAAAGGAAAGGCATGGGGAAAGGGAGAGGACGAGCGTCAGGGATGGAGAATGTAGCTGTGTGTGGGATTGGGAGGCAATAGGAGGAACAGGGAGACAGGGCGAGAGAATGCGGGGCACGCATGGTTGCATTGCAGGGTGCAACGAGCCGTACAGCACGAGTGGTGGCACGGCAGGGTCTGCGTGCAGATGGGAGCGTCGAAACAATTCTTGCAAAAATAATCCCCCCCGGAGTCCATATCCATGGCATCATCATCGTCATCATCGCCATCATCGAGGTGATGATGGTTATGATGGGGATGGGGATGGTCATGGTGATGGTCATTGAGGTGGTGATGGAGGCAGTCCTCTACCGGGTCTATCTCAGAGCCACTGGTGCTGCTGCCCTCCGCCCGCACTCGCATCTGCACTCCCCGCCATCGCAGTCGCACCGATGTCACAACGCCGTTCAGCCACATGGTCCAAGGCGCATCATCCATGCATGGGGATTTTGTTGCACCGTTGCATCGCCATGTCACATGCAGGGGAGAGGAGAGCGGAGGAAATTCGAGGGTAAGGGGTGGGGAGGGGAAAAGTGTAGACAGCAGAAGGGAAGGTGGGGTTGTGAAGCAGCCATGGTTTCAGTGGCAGCTGGCGTGCCAAGTAACAGTGTCACAAGGCAGGAGTGAGTGGTAAGTCTCAGCTTCACTCCGTGCATAAGTGACCTCAAAGAAGCTGTCTTTGGCTGTGTGACGTAAGTGTGGAGGCGTGTGAGTGTCAAGCAGAGAGGAGAATAGAGATGGGCTTAGTGGAACTGGAAATGAGCAGGAAGAAAGGAGCAGGACGGAAGGACAAGTGAGACAGGAACAGGAAGGAAGGAGCAGGGAGGACGGAGGAGGAGGGGGGAGGGGCGAGAGAGCACCTTAGCGACCTCGAGTTTGGTGAGGGCTGTTTCCATGTCCGCCTCCAGAGCCATCAGCTCCCTCAGCGTCAGCCCCGCCAGCTGCTCGCCCTGCCACACATGGGGTGTGGGAGGGGAGGACGTTTGCCAGAGAGCGAGGAAGGAAGCAGGAGCTGATAGAGCTCTTATTCTACAAAGGTGGGCAAGTGGACGGGTGAGGGGGCAGGGCAGCAGAGAGCCATGTCATGCTCTCAATCCCCGAGTGCCACCCCCTCTCGTCCTCACCTTTCTCCGTGCGAGTTCCTCCTTGAGCGCAGATGTCTCTCGCTCCACCGCCATCTGCACACGCACCTCCACCTCCCCACCCGCCACCTCCCCTCCGCGCGCCCCCAAGCTACCCGCGGACCCCACTCTGATCAACTCCATCGCTCTCTCCGACAGGCTCAACCCGCCCTCACTGCCCCCCTCACTACCGCCCCCCTCGCTGCGCATGCTCTCCCCCTTCCTCAGCTCGTCCAACCACCGCCCGCTGCCCCCAATGCTGCCTGCCAGCTCCGCCATCTCCTCCGCATCCAGCAACCCCCCTCGCCCCGCCGTGCCCCCACCGCCCTCCCTGCCGCTGCCCTCACTGTCCTTGACAGACGAGGAGCGGCTGCCCCCGCCCATGTGTCTGAGCTCAGCCACGAGCACCCACATGGTGCTTAAGTCCCTCTCTAAAGCCGCCTCCCTCTGCTGTGCTGCTGCCAGGCTCTGCTGCAGCTCGCCCACCTCCCTCTGCCGTGCCGCAAGCATTGCATCCTTCTCCGCCTCTAGCCGCGCCGCCACCGCCGCCACCGCTCCCACCACCCCCTGCTTCCTCATGCCCTCCCCTGCGCCCTCCCCTGTGCCGTCACCTTCGCTTTCTCCACCCCCCCCACCTTCCCCACTCTCCACTCCTCCTGCCTCTGCAGCAGCAGCAGTTCGATACGCTGCCAGCTCAGCACGAGCAGCTGCCAGCTCAGCCTCCACGAACTGGTGCTGCTGCCGCTGCTCCTGCCACTGCGCCTCCCTCGCCCTCGCCGCCTCTACCTGCTGCAGCAGCACGCTCACATCAGGCCGCCCATCCGGCCCATTCATATACGCCCCGTCCAAAAACGACGCCAGTGATGGCGCCCCTGCTGCAGCACCTGACCCATCAGCACCGCTACCAGCAGCAGCACCGGCAGGTGCAGAGCAGGAGGCGGTGAGTGCGAGGGAGCGCGCCTGTGCGAGGTCCTTGGTGAGCTGGTGCTGCTGCTGCCGCAGCATGTCCGCCTCTTGCCTCGCCAGCCTCACCTGCGACCGCAGCTCCTCCAGCTCTCCCGCCCGCACCACCACCATGCCCTCACCGCCACTCCCTCCCGCCTCACCGCCCCCTGACCCTGCCCCCGTGCCACCCTCGCCCTCCCCTTGCCCTGCTGCGTCAGCCTGCCCGTCAGCCTCCCCGTTGGCCTCCCCCTGGCCGCGGGTGGCGCCGTGGCGAGAGGTGATGGCGCGGGTGAGCTCTACGCGCAGCATGTTGGCCTCCTCCATCAGCTGCTGCACCTGCTTCGTCTGCTCGCGCACAGGGTGGGAGGGGGCGCGACGGGAGACGGGTGGGAAGGGGTGAGGAGTGGGATGGGTGTGAGGGAGTTGCAGACTGTGCGGGTGGGGAAGGGGCGAAATGCACGACATGAATTGCTTCGGTGAAGAAGACAATCGAGCAGGTTGACTGGGGTCACTGGCGCTGGCGGTGCTCACCTTGGCCTTGAGCGAGTCCTGCAGAATGCGGTTGTCTGCACTCACGATCTGGCACGGCAGCCAGCAGAGGGAGCAGGGCAAAGAGCGGGACGCGGTCAGAGCACAAAGTAATGAGAGAAATAGCGCACATGCAAGCAGGCCAATGCAGCGAGCACAAACAGAAAGTTCGTTTTTGAGCGCTCTCAAGTCATCTGCCATGTCAAATCCTTCCACTTAAATGCACATGTCAAATGCTTACTGCTCACCTCCATGTCAAACGTCTTCTCACTCAGCACTGCCTTGAGCTTCGCTATGGTCTGCACCACATGGCACATGGGTGGCGGAGACAGGGACGTGAGCACAGGCATGTGCCATGGGGCGTAGGAGATGGGAGGTTTGCGACACGGGGCTCTTGTAATGGTTCGTGGACTGCGGGACAAGAGGCCTTGACGTTGGATTCAGGCATGGGGCAGGAAAGAGCGCGTGGGAGAAAATTTCAGAGGAGGCATGGTGCAGGGGGCATGGAGCATGACTGTAAGACATGACTACTATTTGCCCTCCTCCCACCTTGGCCATCTGTTCCTTTGTGGCCGTGTCTGCCTCTGCGCCCACGCCCAGGCCATCAGTGGGCCCCACGGCGCTGGCAGCAGGGGACGGCTGGCTGCCCTGCCTCAGTCGCACGAGCTCCTCCATCTCGCGCAGCTGCTGCTGCTTGCCTGCTAGCTCCACTCGCAGCCTCTGTGGGCACCAGCGCGCACACAAAGGGCGCAGGCATGGACAAGCAACGGGCAAGGGACAGATATTGAGAGCAGAGAGGTTGAGACACGGCATGTTCATGTCAAGCCCTGAAAAAGGAACGGACCACGGAAACACGTGCGTCCTATTGCTCTTCACTGTCCCTCTGCCCCCTCTCACACGCCTGTCCAACCCACTCCCTGCAAGGCGGTGGACTGACCTCGATTTCCTGCTGCTCCTGCGGTGTGTTCTCGCCCTTGTCGATAAGGCGCCTCAGGTTGGACGTGTGGAAGCCCACCTCTGCTGACAGGATCTTCACCTGATGTTGGGGGGACAGAGGAGAGGAGAGGGGACAAGAGAGGACGGAGGGAAGAGGAGCGACAGCGACAGCAGATGACAGGAGAGCACGAATGAATTCCAAGTCCAAGTTTTGGATATGATGATATGTTGTCGTTGGACAGGCGTTTGTGTCGTCCAAGTTTTATGTGTGTGCGTGTGTTTTACGTGTGCCATGCTGTGGCACCAGTTAACATTTCATCACAACGGCTTGCATTGCCCACGGACCTGTTCCCTCAGCAGTTCGCACTGGTCCATGAGCGTCGTGCCACTCTGTTTGTGCCACACACGCAGGGGGGATGGCATGGCAGCATGGAGAATGGGGGAAGGGTGAGAAAGGTGCACGAGTCATGGAAGAGAACGGAAAGGACACGCAATGAAACAAAGACTTTATTTGCAGAGTACTTTTCAACGAATCATCTACATGCTCTCACCGATGGGATTCGCACGCCTGTGATGTGAAACAGGTCCCCTGCCTGAGTCGACGCCCTCACCGTCTCCACACACCGCCCCCCTCCCCCCACGCCCATGCCCATGCCCGTGCCCATCCCTCCCCCCCCCCCGGCGCCCGCCTCGTCCACACTAAGCAGCGATGCCGTGCGGCGCACTGCGCGCATCATCCTGGGCGCCCCCGGCCCCGCCCCCGTCCCCCCTGCGTGCTCCTCTGAGCTGTCCGTGCCACTGCTGACCCTTGTCAGCCATTGCCCACTGTCGCTGCCTGCTCTGCCCGCCTCCATACCACCATCCGTGCCGCGGGCAGTGAGGATTGGGTCCACGTTCTCACTGCCTGACAGCGACGTGTGCAGAGCCCCCTCGCCGTCTCCGTCCTTGCTGCCTGCCCCGTCCTTCTGTTGGGCACAAGGGCATGACGAGGGAGAGGGGGGAATGAGGGGGGAGAGAAGGGTAGCAGTGAGGGAGGCGGTGATAGCAGTAGTCCTCACCTGCCTTCCCTCTCACTTGCCAAGCCCACCCGCTCATGTTCGTTCCTCCCTCCAACGACCATCATCTCCCTTCTCCCCTCACCCTCCCCTCCCCACCCCCCTGGGAACGCACCTTGGAACGCAGCCATTTGAGGATCATGGGGTCCCCATCGTCGTCCCCTGCGCCGCCCCCCTCTCTCCCTGCGCCTGCCCCTCTGGGCGAGGCAGCGCCACTGCCACTGCCGCCGCTGTACACGCTCACAGACCGCGACCCTGCTGCGCCCACCGTGCCCCCCAGGCGCTGCAGGTCGTCCCCCGCGCCCGCCCCCGCGCCCCCCGCGCCCATGGCGTCGTCCAGCAGGTCGAAGCCCAGGTCCATGCGCCTCTGCTTCAGGTACGCCAGCTGGCATGCGGAGACGATGCCACGTGTGCGGATGGATTGGAGGGGCGGGAAAGAGAGGGGAGGGGAGGGGACGGGAGGAGCGCATTGGAGATACACAAGAGGGGCGTGAGAGACGCAAGAGAGCCATGCTAGCTGCGCCTTTAAGGCACTTGAAGCAAAAGCAGAAAGGTGCTGGCAAGGTCACGTCACACACACTAGAAAACAACCCAATTTGAAGTGGACGCTACTCACGTCCTCCTCGCCGAAGGAGAGGCGGCGGCGCAGGCGGCCGGTGGGGGGGGCGTGCTGAGGGGGGGCGGGCTTGGAGGCGGAGGAGGCCTTGGAGGAGACGAGGATGAGCTTGGTGAGGCGCTGTATGCGCGTCAACAGCGCCGCCTTCGCCTCCTCCTCCTCCTCCAGGCGCGACTGCAGCAGCATCTGATCCGCCTCCAACTGCTCGGGGGGGAGGAGAGGAGAGGAGAGGCATGGGAAAGAGGGGAAGCCGAGGGCAAGCAATTAGGAGGGCAGAGAGGAAAGAAGAGGAGGCAGGGCGAGGAGAAGCAGGGGAAGGAAATGGAGGACGAAATTGTGCTGCACACAACGTCAGAGAAAGTGCACACAGGTGCGACAGCAGTGAGCAGCAGAGGCAGCTGTGGCCACCAGCTCACCTTCTCTCGCAGCACTGCCAGGTCCTGCCCGCCCATGTCGCCTCCCCCGCTGCCGCCACTGTTGCCGCTGCCAGGCGCGGCGCCCCAGGGCAGCGCGGGGGGGCCGTGTGACATGCCCTGCTTCAGGCGCGTGAGCTCGTCCTTGAGCGCCATGATCTCCTTCTGATACTTCTTTATCAGCGACTTCTCGTCCAGTATCTGACGTGCCACGCAGTGGGGTGGGGTGGGGGTGGGGTGGGTTGGGGAGGGGAGAAAGGGTAGGAGGAATGGATAAGTGGGACAGGACCACTCCTCGACACAACAAGAGAGGCTCTTCACCCTTCAAGGAGGTTTTCCATTGAGAAAGAAGTTGCATCTTGTAAGGCGAGCAGAGGCCCAACGAGCGGCCAACAGCAGCAGGGCCCACACATGGCTTGCGTCCCGCGCGTGTGTGTGTGTGTGTGTGTGTGTGTGTGTGTGTGTGTGTGTGTGTGTGTGTGTGTGTGTGTGTGTGTGACCTTGTTGGCGTTGGCGCGGATCTCAACGTGCTTGGCGCGCGAGGCGAACTTGAGCGTGTTGTGGGTCTCCTCCAACGTGCCCGAGGCGGGAGTGACGGTGCAGATGAGTGAGATGCGCGCATTGCCACTCAGTGACGTCTGCAGCAGACGCGTGAGCTTGGAGTCCCGATACGGCACGTGTGACTGCTTGCGCTCACTCAGCTTCGATATCACCTGTGCTCCACCCCCACCACACCACAGCACACGAGTACACCACAGGACCATCGCACAACCACACAGCAATACAGCATACCACCCCAGCACAGCAACTCAGCACAATGCCAGGACAAGTTAAAGACATCTCCACCCCCACCCCACCTATACACCCAATGCCCAATGTAAGCACAATCCTTTCTCCTACCACCCCCGTGGAAGGCGAGCATGGCGTGAATGTGAGTGAATGTGTGGCATGCAGGCGATGATGCTGAGGCAGGCTGACCGTGCCGAGTGTGAGCAGGCTCTTGTTGATGAACGTGCCCTCCCTGCGCCGCATGTTGTTGCCCGCTGTGGCTCGGCTGTTCTCCGACCCCGCCAGGTCGATCAGGTTCTGCCAGCACACACGCACACACACACGTGCACATGCGCACACGCGCACAAATAAAATTAAAGGAGAAGCCAGAGCCGAAGGTGAGCGAGGAGGACGGTGGCAGGGGTACCAGGACGGAATAGGGCAGCAAGCAGCCGCAATAACAAGGGGCAGCACACTGGCGTCCAGGTTAGCGTACAAGCTCCCAAGGCGGGGACAAACGAGGAGCGGAGGGAAGAGAAGGCAGGCGAGGAGGGAGGGCGGCGCACCAGCTGCGAGTAGGTGACCTCCTCGTACCCATCCAAGTCCCGCCCGCTGCTCTCCACGGTCTGTCATACAAGCAGGCATGAGAGGGATTCGGGAATGAGGGGACGGAAGGCGCTTGTCAGCGAGCATACTTGTTGAGGGTGCGAGGAAATGAAGCAGCCCGCACTTGGGCATAAGGTGCGATAAGCACAAAAAAAAAAGGAGTTGGGAAGAGGATGAGGGGGAGCAAGAGGTGGGGGGACGAAGGGGGGAGGGGGAATGGAGAGAAGGGGAGCGGGGTGGATGGCAAAGTGCAGTGTGGCGTATGGGGAGCGGCGAGGGGCTCACGAGAGTGAAGATGGTGTGGCTGCGACTGCTGGCCGTGTTGAAGTGCGTGGCGCCCACATGCCGGTGCTCTGCTCACACACGAGCGTGCATGCACGAGTGAGATGCACGCGGTGAAGTGCGTGCACGGACACACAGAGATAAGGTGCGCTCAGCAAGCACGCCATGAGATGCCGTGACTTCGCATGAAGGGCACAACGAGCGATACAGACTTGATCAAACAGGACGCGCAAGGGGAAGGAGACGGGCATGGTGTGGAGAAGAGGGGGGAAGGAGGGGTGTGCCTTCGCCAGCGGCGATGAGGGAGAGGGCGTGCGCGGCGGAGAGCACCACCTCCTCCTTCACGTTCTCCACGAACGTGCCGTGCTGTTCGCAGGGGCAGAGGGCACGCAGGGCAGGGGCAGGGGATGTTAGGGGAGGGCTGGGCAGGGGTTGCACACCCGGGGCAGCGCGAGAACGAGGCGCATCTAGGTTGGAATCCCTTCCACTCCTCCCCCCCCCTCTTCTCCCTCTTCAGTTTTCCTCCTCTCCCCTCTTCCGTCACTCCCTTCGATTTTCCCTCATTCTTGCCGCGTTTCCCCCTCTGCTCCTCTCCTCTTCCCTCCCCCCACCCTTCCCCTCGCAATCGCGCACCTGGCCATCTTCGCGGATGCGCAGGTTCTGCCCGGCGGGGTTGAGCAGGTCGTTGATCACCTGCCGTGCGGGGCGCGCGGAGAGGGCGGATGAGCGAAGCCACGCCAGGGCGGGCGCGCAACAGGCGCGGGGAAGGGCGGACAGTGTAAAGAGTCAGAGGAGTGGGGTGCGACACATGTACATGGCGCGGATGCGTACACGATGGCAGATGCATGCGTAAATGCGTGGTGGCAGATGGAACAAGCCTGTAAGGCGCACGGGTGGCGGCGGGTGCATGCGCGCAAGGCCGCGCGTTGGGTACCTCATTGTAGATTTCGAGGTACGACACGCGCAGTAGAAACTCGCGACCGGGCGTCTGGAAGGGGGACAGCAACGAAGTGACGGGCAGAAAGGGGTGACAGGAGAGAATGAGAGAACAGCAGCGAGGCTCGGAGGACGACATGAGAACTGGAGGGTGGATGTGTACTGAATAATGCTCAGTTGCTCTAAGCTTCTACTGAATAATGCCAACATTCATACTTCGATTAATACGAGAATCATTCTCATCACTCACATCCTGAATCATTCTCATCACTCACATCCTGAATCATTCTCATCACTCACATCCTGAATCGCTCTCATCACTCACATCCTGAATCGTTCTCATCACTCACATCCTGAATCGTTCTCATCACTCACATCCTGAATCGTTCTCATCACTCACATCCTGGATAATGCTGAACACTTCTTTCACGGCCAGCGGAATGACACCCGGGGACTTCTGATCGCCCTGTGCGAATTAGCGCACGCACGCGGAGGGGAAGCACAAGGTGGGATGGGGTGGACAATGAGTGCGACGGGGCAGGAGGAGGAGGTATGCGTGACGCGCGGTCATTCGCAGCGCGTGTCACTCACATGCATGCTACGCGTTTCGGTCAATACTCTGCGCTCCGCTCGCATACATGCTGCGCTTACTACTCGCACGTATGCTGCGCTTCTATTCGCACGCATTCTGCGCTCTCTACTCACGTGCATGCTGTGTGTCTTCCCGCTGCTCGTGACTCCGTACGCGAAGACCGTCCCTGCAGGGAGAATGCACAGTCGAACAAGGCCACCACACGCACACACAGAAACGGTATAAGCGGGATGCAAGACCTGTGTGGCGCCATGCCGCGTGCTGTAGGTTCCATTTCAGCCGTCAGTCATCATTGCTCACTGTTCTGGAATCAGCTCTCACCGTTAATTCCTTCCATCGCAGCAGCTACGACGGGTTGCGCTGCCACGTCATACACCCCCCGCGTCGTTGTAGCGGGCCCAAACACCTTGTCTGCACTCACAATAAGGTAGGTGGGAGGATATGGGAGAGAGGGACGAGAAAGGGTGTCGAGGAGGAGAAATGTGGGTTGGCAACTGGAGAGGCACTTTGAATTACTAGTTACGGAGCCATTAGCTCATGCCTAGTACGTCTTGTCTACAAACTTTCAGCTTTGAGCATGAGAACGTGCGAAATGTCGAGCGGGTTATGAAGCTACTCGAGGCACTAACCGTAAGCATAGGCGATGGAGGGGTTCGACTCCATGCGAACTATCTTGTCGCCGTCGGCGTACCACCCCACGTCCTCTCCCCGCTGAATCTCCCTCAAGCTGCCACCCCCACACCATCACGCAGCCACAACAGTCAGTCAGTCCCCATGAGCGTCTACTATGTCAGACCCGCTCATGCAACGCGAACGATTAACTTTACGATGCGAGTCTGCCGACGAACCTGAGCGGCCGGAAGCGAACGGTGACTAGAACGTTCTCGTTCTCCAGAGGGTTGGGTACCACCGCCATCTCCGGCACCAGCATCGGGTGGTGCTGGGTGGACGGCGCGAACGACACCTGTCGCGGCTGGGGCTGCGCGTGAACACGTGGCCCTGAGATGGCACTCCCACGAACCGTATTGCTGCTAGGACTCGGACTCGAAGCGCGGGCCATTATCGGCTTAAGGCCTGACTGACTACCGAGAGGCGGAGCGGGTGATGGTGCGTGGCTCGTCGGTTGCCGAGACGGCCTAAACGCTGACAGGAGGTTCGGAGTGCCAGTTGTGTGGCGACTCGCTGATTCGTGAGAGGTGCCTGATGGCGTGGCCTCATCTTCCGGCACTATGGGAGATGCGAATCCCGGCAGAGGCAGCTTGGAACCCGCATAGTTGACTCTCCGCTTGGAGGTACTGCTACTTGGACTCGGAGGCGCCTTCTTACTCGGACTGAAGGAAAACCTCCTCACTAGCTTACTGTCCATCATCCTGCCACTCGCTGATTCTTTGGACACAATGTGAACGGTCTAGAACGAGGTCATGCCTTTAAAATGTTATTCGAGCTGTACTGTGATTTTGGTGGAACGTCGTGGGAGTTCCTAGAGGCTGTGCTTCGACTAGTTCGTCAGAATTCCTTCTTGTCGTCTTTCGTAAGGTTCCACGCAAGCTCTTCGATTGTCACACCCCGTGCCTGAGGTAAGTCGATCGCAAGCTAGCAACGTAAGTTACAATTGTGCAGGAATGGACGTGATGTGGAGAGATGCTGGACCCCAGTACCAGAGAGAGAGAGACTCCTAGGGATCAGACGCTGGATGCAGAAAGGATCCACCTCTCATGCCTTAGCTACTGAAGAACGCAGCAGTGCCGCCGTTGGCTCTGCTATCCCATTATGGTTTCCATGCAACTTCTGAGAGGCGGGAAACCAATGCCCGAACAAGCCGCTATGAAGCGTTGGTCCTTGTGGTACAACTTCCGAGTTTGATCCTGCCTGCAACACCAACTTCCAGGTATGTACCGTTGCGTTGCGGTTCGAGAGTGCTTTGGTTCTGACAGGCGATGCGAGTGAGCCAATCGGGGGAAAGCTGACGGCTTTCCAATCAGGCCCCAGCAACAGTTGATGGTTCTGAAGCTGTTACATGTAGTCTCGCTATATATGGAAACTCTCAAGTCACACGTAGGTAGTATTTGCAGCAAAAGTTCAACCTCTCCTTTGTCAGGATCTTAATAATCGTATTTTCAAAAAGTAATTCATTCTGAATTGACTTTATAAAATGAGCCATTTACCATAATATGACTTGATGAAACTTCAGTAAAAGGGTTGAGGCATGAACATGTTCAATGTAGAACATGCTGTGCATTCGTACTTTCTGTTCTACAATTGAGCGTTCTTCAGGTTGTGCATTCCCCTCTGCTGGCGTCGCCTGCGGGGTCAGAGCGGACGTGACAGGGACATCCTTCAGCCCTATTGGTGGAGACTAAATTTCGAGCCATTTTCAGGTGCAATCTCTACAATTGGGGAAATGAGTTCAGGTGTGATCCCGGCGTATCTTTCCAAGTCTCTGTTGCGTACTGTACACGCGTGCCGGAACAGAGCCTTGAAAAGATACGCCACTCAAATCTGTACTGGCTGAGGGAAACTGCTTCGTTACCGAGGCTACCAGGAATTGCTAAGACATACCCCAAAATTATTAAACTTTGGAAGCATTTTTGGGAGATCAACCCTAAACACGTGAACTCCTGGTGTTGATGCCTCCGTAAGGTTTTCGTGACAAAAAATAAAAATAAAACCCAATCGGGACGCAATCGAATCGGGAGGCATCAACCCTAAACACTAGATAGGTTCCGGTGTTTAGGGTCGATCCCTACCGAAACTGCTTCCAGGTTCTCTAGGGTTTTTTTTTTCGGGTGGCCTTAACAGCTTCGGGTAGTTTGGTCTGGCCATGCTGTATGTTTGACTTCTGTCAGCTGAACAAGATGTGCGTGGCGAGTCTGCAGAAGGTACTGTTGCGGCACGTGTGTACAGTGCCACAACAGTGCCGTAACAGATTGGGATCGCACCGGAACACATTTTCTGTACTACAGAGATTGCACCTGAAAATGGCCCCTAAATTTCCATTCCCCCAAGCAGATGACTGAGTGGGGCGTCGAACGAAACCCCATGTCAGCTAGCTGACGCGCCTTGACGAGCAAGCCTTTGGCGGGGCACTCGTGTCGCAGTCAATTCGGCTGTTCTGCTCCTCTGCGCTGGAAGGGAGCCCCCGACACACAGACATTCGCCTCTCCTCCGCTCGATTACAGCCGAGCCGCGCATTGAAGTCCCTTCCCTGCCATACAGTATCGAGATTTCTCCACCCATCCCTAACCCTTGCGCGTTCCCTTGGCACGGTGGCTTCACATAGCTCCCTCCCTGCTTTACTACTGGAGCGTGTCACAATCACAAGGCATAAGGCGACGCACCAGTGGCATCGATCCATCCATCCATCAGTCGCGAGTCGACGGCTGCGTTCACTTTGTTGTTGTCATTCAGGGGAATAGATTCAACGGACAGGAAATCGAAAGTTTGGCTGGTGTTCTCTCCCTAGTTTCGCTCGCCAGTACCAAATTGAGCTAGATCATAACAAATTATCAGATAGTCGTAGTCCGCCTGCGAATGACAGCCATGGCAAGTAGTTTACGATGGACCCTGGCAGCATGCTTACTCCTATCCGCCTTAGCGCTCGTGGCGTGCAAGCCGCCGCCGCGGCCGGTGCAGGTGAACAACCAGATCTGGATCAAGGGCTTCGGGCCCATACAGGGCACGGGGTGCCCTGGCTTCACTAACGTCTCCGCGTTCTACGGCGTGCCTTACGCCCTGCCGCCCATTGGCAAGCTGCGGTTCGCGGCGCCCGTGATGTGGGACAAGCAATACCCGTTCCCCTACAGACGCGCCGATACGCCCCCGCCCAAGTGCCCGCAACCGTACCGGGCGGTCACTGACAACATCCGGGAGGTCAGTGCGATACGATTGGAGAAGCGCGCACGAAGTTTTAACATGAGTCGAGCTGTGCAAGGGCGATTATGGGGTTGCTGGGAACTTGCGAATTATGGCTCGGTATATTTCGTGTTATTCTCGGTGATGCTTGTCCTCCGTCTGCTAGCCTTGACGGATATCTGCTTGGTCCTCTGATCAAATGCCTTCTGTTATTTCCCACCACCCTGCAAGCCTGCCTCATCTTCTCGCAAGCCCGTCACCCCTGCCCACCGCTGTGCACCGCAGGACTGTCTGTACATGAACATCTTCACGCCGGCGAACGCGACGGCGAGCAGCACGGCGGTGCGCGTGCTGTTCCACGGCGGGTGGTTCTACAAGGGGTCGGCGTCCGACGACTTCGTCAACGGCTGCCAGTCCGTCGCCGAGACCAACACCACGCTCGTCATCGTGCAGTACCGCCTCGGCGCGCTCGGCTTCCTCGCGCACCCCTCCACCTTCTCCGAGGGCGAAACCACTGGCAACTGGGGTGAGCCCGCCTCCGCATCCCTCGCACCTCACCCTGTCCCCCACCGCTCCACTCGCCGCCTGCGTGAACCTCTCTTCGCGCTGTGTCCTTCCTCGCCTTTCCGATCAAGTGCCTGAGCCAGGTTGCGCTGGCCGCAATCGACTTACCTCGCGGCTGTTTCTCATATCCTCCATCTCTCCATTGTCGCGGCGTGGTGTGCAGGGCTGCTGGACCAGCAGATGGCGCTCAAGTGGATTTCCAAGTACATCGGGTACTTCGGCGGTAACTCGTCCGTGCAGATCATGGGCCACAACGCAGGTGCGCACTGTCGGGTGGTGGGCTGACACAGGCTGGTGGGACGACAGGGATGAGTGGGCTGTAAGGCAATTGGGGGCGGGGCGGTCTCAAGTGGTATGCAGGCCTGGGATGCAGGATACGGGCCGAGGGTTCGCCATGCGCGACCCAACATTTCGGGTAATTCGTTCGTGCATATCATAGGCTGCGCGGGGCGGAGAGAAGGAATTAGAGGCGTACGATGCAGAATGTAAGCGGTGAGGGCGAGAGTTGACAACCGCGAGTGTCCGATCCATGTCCCACAGCCCGAGCGCAGTTACCAACGCGCGTGCCTCCTCGCGTCCACTCGCCGCTCACCGCTTCGTGCCTCCCCCTGCGTGCCCATGTGTGCGTGGTTGTGGTTGTGGTGGTGACAGGCGCGGTGAGCGTGATGCTGCACATGGTGAGCCCGCTCTCCAAGGACCTCTTCACCTCCGCTGTCGCCTCCAACGGCGCTGCCATCCCGCTCTTCACGCAGAACAGGGTGAGTCGCTCAAGTTCGTAGCGCCAGCTGCGTTGCTCCTGTCGTCCCACTCGTCTTCTCTTGCTCTCGCATCCTCCCTGCCCCTGCCTCCGTTCGTACCGCTCACCTGACCCCATTTTTCCGCCATTCCGATCCACCCGTTGCTCCACGGCCAGGCGTACGACTCGACCTACACCCTCGCTGAGGCGCTCAACTGCCCCCTCGACCCCGAGACCCAACTCGAGTGCCTGCGACAGGTGAGTCCTGCGACGCCCGTGTCGCGTTTGGTCGTTAACTCGCATATCATTCGCAATCCGCGCTTTCATACCTGGAAAACCATAAGTGCGTCAATTCAGTCTCGTTCCCGCCCACCGCCACTTCCCTCCCGTCCCCGTATCCCCTCCCATCCACGCCCGCTCATCCCGCGCTTGTATCCCCTCCTTCCCCTTTCCCCCCCGTGCAGACGCGGTGGCAGGACATAGTGGCGAAGACGCCGGTGGTGAAGGACATATACCGGCAGCAGCGGCGCATCTTCTACCCGTGCATCGACGGCAAGGTCATCCCGCAGCAGCCGCTCGACATGCTGTCCAACGGCCAGCTCAACCCCGCACCGCTGATGATGGTGACGAACAAGGACGAGGGGCGGCTGTACGTGCTCGAGTCGTTCGGCAAGTGGTGGCAGCTCAACGAGACCAGCGTCAAGACGTTCCTCGCCAACGTGTACCCGGGCGTCGACCCCGCGCAGATCATCCAGCACTACTGGATCAAACTCTACGACAGTGAGCCCCGGGCGCCCTCTCTCCGCTCCGCGCGCCATTCCTCCGCTCCGCGCCCCCTCTGCTCCGCGCACCCTCGTACCTTACTGTGTGCCCTGCCCTGCTGGTCCGTCTTCTACTCCGTCCCTCCCCATTCCCTCACTTCATCCTAACTTCTTCCCTTTCCCCCGCCTGTCGCCTCCCCCCAACCGTCGTCCCCGTCGCCCCCGCGTGGCGCGCAGGTGTGTTGGAGCAGTACGCGGACATGTGGACGGACATATACATCAACTGCCCCGCATACAAGACGCTCGTCGCGCTCTCCGCGTACCAGTTCCCGCCCTTCGACGAGTGCGCGTACCCCTCGCCGTTCTACATGGGGTACGGCGCGCCGTGCAAGCTGCCCCTGCACCTCTACTACTTCGCCGTGCGCTCGCCGTGCCCCGCCGCCTCCAAGTTCCTCGGCGCCACCAGCAAGCGCGACCTGCCCTACTTCTTCAACCTTGAAGCCGCGCAGACCGGCTGCTCCTTCGACAAGGTACACCCAGAGGCGCCAGACTCGTCTCTGCTGACTGTTCGATTTAGGCACCTGTTGTCTGGGTCCTCTGTTAGAGCGATCTCCACTCTGAATCCGCGCGTTCCTTGCTGCAGTAAGCTCCTCTGTTGTCGGCTGCTCCCTCTTCCTCTGCCCCTCACTCACCACGCCCCCCCTCCGCTCCTCCCCCCATGGCATCTTCCACGGCTCCTCCCTCTCCCCACACTCCCCCCTCCCGCTGCAGAACGAGACAGCACTGGCATACGACACAACGTATGCCATGGGCACGATGGCCAATCTGGGCAAGCCCATGTTCGCCAACAACACGCCGTGGGTCTACTGGACGCCCGAGGCGCAGACAGCCATGGTGGCCGACCGCTCCATGGGGTACCTGGGCTACAAGACGATTGACTTTGCCACCAAGTGCGCTGTGTATGACAACCTCGTGCGTCCGCCGCCCGCCAGCCCTAAGATTCCGCGCCTCTCGCCTGGGTTTGGGCCTGTGATTCCCGGGTATCCCCTTGGGATTGCTGGGTCGCTGCCCTCTCCGCCACCCCCACCTGTGCAAACGCCGAAGAAGAGTGGAGCGCGGTTGAGAGGGGTTGGGGTGGTTGGGCTGGTGGTGTCTGTGGTGCTGATGTTGATAGCGTGCTGCTGATGGGATGGTGTGATGGTGTTGCTATTGAGAGATGGTGGTAGGAATGCCGGAAGAGGAAGCTTGGTTGATAGAGAGCCAAATTTTCCGACAGAAGCGATTGATGGGTGTAGAGGAATGCTTTCCTGACAGCTCAGCTGTTGGGCCTTGTAGATTAGGTTTTGCAAGCTATGGAATGTCTCTTGCTAGGCAGATGAGGTTGCTTGAACAACCTGCGGTTTATTAGTGGTAATGGCTTTGTTCTAGGAACTACAGTGATGAAAGGCTGTAGACAAGAACCTGCTGCTGGAGCAGGCAGCAGTGGCACTAGATGGGGTTAACATGGGTTGGTGGACTGGAAGAGTGCAGAACGGAGAAGAGCATTGCCCTCTGTTCAACCACTCACCTGTTAGGCCCTCTGCCATGTCTAATCACTTGAGTTATTCCGTTCTCCAGCCAAATCCCATTTTGATGCTGCCTTCCTAGGATAATACTGGCTGATAATTGGATGTAGAACCTACATCCACAGGGGGTTAACGAGATGTTACGAACCCCTGCTACAACCATTTGCGGATGCAAAGCAGCCACTTCCTCAAGCCACTACCAGATATAATGAAACTCTCTTCATCCTACTCTTGCTTCTGATGTTAACCCTGTCAAACTATATGTGCTGCATATTGTCTAGGCTATAGTGGGGTAGCCCATATGGGGTACAACCCAATTAGGGTTTACTACTTGTACTCCTGCATCCTGTTAGTTCAGCCATTCCTGCTGCTAGATTCTAACATGGTTTCAGAGCACTAAGGTCCGTAGGACCGTTTTTTTTTTTTCGGGCCCACCTACCGCTGCGGTTACCGCGCTACCCCACGTACCTGCCTGCCTTGCCTTGCCTTGTGACGTGCTGCACAAGCGCTGCCTCCTGCTGCCCTAGGCCAGCGCGCTGCCCCTAGAGGCCCGTAAAGCCCGCGCGCCGCCTCTACACGCCTGTCAGGCCCGCAACCACGCTGCTACAGCGCGCTGCCCGCACCGAAACCGCGCAGCCCGCACCGAGTCGCGCGCAGCCCGCTGCAGCCACGCGCAGCCCGCACCGAGCCGCGCGCAGCCCGCTGCAGCCGCGCGCAGCCTGCACCGAGCCGCGCACAGCCCGCTGCAGCCGCGCGCAGCCCGCACCGAGCCGCGCGCAGCTCGCAGCTGCCGCGCGCAGCCCGCACCGAGCCCACGCAGCCCGCGTCGAGCCGCGCGCGGCCTGCTACGGCCTCGCGAGGCCCGCGCGCGGCCCGCAGCAGCCCGCGCCGAGCCGCGCGCGGCCTGCAGCAGCTCCGCGCGCTGTCCGCGCTGCCCGCGCCGAGCCGCGCGCGGCCCTCTGCCTCGGCCCCGACCTGCCGCTGATGCGGCCCCGCCCCGCAGCTGCCACGGCCCCGACCTGCCGCTGATGCGGCCCCGCCCTGCAGCTGCCACGGCCCCGACCTGCCGCTGACGCGGCCCCACCCTGCTCCTGCCGCTGAAGCGGCCCCGCCCTGCAGCTGCTTCGGCCCTGCTCTTCAGCCGGTGTTGCGGCCCCGACGTCGCCGCTGTCGAGCGCCGGCCATGCTCGCCCGGTGAGCGCCTGCTCTCCCAGCCTTTGGTGAGCGACTGCCTGCCTGCCTGACGGCCTGCCTGCCTGCCTGCCTTCCTGCCTGGCTGCCTGCCTGCCTGCCTGCGCGCCTGCCTGCCTGCCTGCCGGCCTGCCTGCCTGCCTGCCGGCCTGCCTGTCTGTCTGCCTGCCTGCCTGCCTGCCTGCCTGTCTGCTTGCCTGCCTGCCTGCCTGCCTGCCTGCCTGCCTGCCTGCCTGCCGGCCTGCCTGCCTGCCTGCGTTCCTGCCTGCCTGCCTGCTTGCCTGCCTGCCTGCCACGCCTGCCCTGCCCGCGCTAATGATACTGGCAGGTGGTCAGATGCAGCTCCAGCGACGTTCACGTGAGCCTCTCACGCCCCAGCAGCTGAGTGAGTGGTATACTAGCTGGGGTTGTCGCGGTAGCCGTCGTAGCTGTCGCCCTGGGGCTGGTCAGTTGGGAGCGTCTAGCAGTGGCCAGCTGCAGCTGCAGGGGCGTCCACGCGAGACACTTACGCCTCGGCAGCTCCAGGAGTGGTACGCTCAGTGTAGCAGGTCTACACGTACAGTTCGCTGCCCGTACGTCATTCGCACAGGTGCTAGGACTGGTCAGCCTTGTGGGACACTTGGTCACACACAGTCCCGCTGCTTCGCCCGTCTGAGCGACGACTGGCGCACAGTGTTTGGCGACGAGGCTGAGCTCCCCACCTGGCTAGAGCTGCATGGACAGGGGGTAGATATCTTTGCGCGTGACTATGATGCTATTCTCACTGCCATGTATGCATTGTCTACTAGTGCTGACCGTGCCTGTTGCCTGTGCGTACCGCCTGACCCTGGTGAGGCTGCTGCCCTAGGTGCTAGTGCGTCTCCTGCTCTAGGTGCTGGTGAGGCTGCTGCTCTCGGTGCTAGTACGTCTACTGCTCTAGGTACTGGTGAGGCCGTGGCTTCAGGTGCTGCTGTGTCTGCTCTCTCTGGTACTGCGCCTACTGCGGTCTCGCACACCTTCACCCTTGACTCAGGAGCTTCCCGCTCCTTCTTTCGCGACTGCACCGCACTCACGCCGCTCCGTCGGCCAGTCCCGGTCTCCCTGGCGGACCCCTCTGGGGGTCCGGTCCTTGCCCACTATTCCACGGTTCTGCCGTGTCCGGCCGTCCCGTCCGGCTCGCTGTCAGGTCTTTACCTCCCCTCGTTCTCTACGAACTTGGTGAGTGGAGCTGACCTCCAGGATGGAAGGGTTCACCAGTTCACTCCTGCGAGTCAGCGAGTGACTCACTGTACGTGTGCTAGGACGGGCCGGCACTTGGCCACGTTCACCCGTGCACCTGGCTCGAGTCTGTACACACTGACCACTGAGTCCCCTCAGGTAGCTGCGTCTGCGTCTGCGTCTGGTCAGCTGGCGGCCCCCTGCGAGTGTCGCGCTTTGTCACACGACACTCTCCTGTGGCACCACCGCCTTGGTCACCCCTCCTTGCCTCGCCTGCGTAGCATGCACTCTCGCTCCCTGGTCTCTGGTCTCCCCAGGTCTCTGCCTGCCCTCCCTCCCTCGCCTGCGCCGCCCTGCATTCCTTGCGTCGAGGGGCGGCAACGCGCTGCTCCTCACTCCTCCTCGTTTCCTCCCACAGAGGCTCCACTGCAGACGCTCCACCTGGACGTGTGGGGCCCAGCCCGCGTCCAGGGACAGGGCCACGAGCGGTACTTCCTGCTGGTTGTCGACGACTACACGCGTTACACCACGGTCTTCCCCTTGCAGAGCAAGGCGGATGTCCCTGCTGTTTTGATCCCCTGGATCCGCGCTGTTCGTCTCCAGCTCCGCGAGCGGTTCCGGTCGGACTTTCCTGTCCTGCGTCTGCACTCTGACAGAGGTGGTGAGTTCTCCTCCGACCTCTTGGCAGCCTACTGTGCGGAGCACGGCATCACCCAGTCGTTCACGCTTCCGGCCTCTCCGCAGCAGAATGGGGTTGCTGAGCGCCGCATTGGCTTAGTCATGGAGGTCGCTCGTACCTCCATGATCCATGCGGCTGCCCCCCATTTTCTGTGGCCGTTTGCGGTCCGGTACGCCGCGCATCAGCTCAACCTTTGGCCCCGTGTCTCCTTGCCGGAGACCTCGCCCACACTGCTGTGGACGGGGAAGGTTGGCGATGCGTCGCGTTTCCGGGTCTGGGGTGCTCGTGCCTTTGTCCGCGATACCACCGCGGACAAGCTCTCCGCCCGCGCTGTTCCCTGTGTCTTCCTTGGCTTTGTCCCTGACGCGCCTGGTTGGCAGTTTTACCACCCCGCCTCGCGCCGTGTCTTTGCGTCTCAGGACGTCACGTTCGACGAGTCGGTTCCCTTTTACCGTCTCTTCCCCTACCGCACTGCCTCGCTCCCCCCCCCGCCGCTCTTCCTCGCTCCAGGTGCTCCCCAGGTAGACCCCCTCCCCGCTCCCGGTCCTGCTCCTTCAGGTGTTTCTCAGGTAGACCCTCCTCCCTTGACTGCGCCGGTTGAGGTCACTGGTGACTCAGGTCCTACTGAGAGTGGTCCTGCTCGGGGTACTACTTCTGGGGGTGCTGAGCCTTGGGGTGCGGAGCCTGAGGGTGCTGAGCCTGGGGGTACTGAGCCTGAGGGTGCGGAGCTTGAGGGTGTGGAGCCTGGTGGTGCTGAGCCTGAGTGTGAGGGGTCTGGGGGTGCTGAGCTTGGCGGTACTGACGCTGGAGGTTCTGGAGCTACTGAGGGTGGTGGCGCTGGAGGTTCGGGAGCTGCTGGAGGGCCTAGTACTGGTGGCGCTGGAGCTGGAGGTTCTGGAGCTGCTGAGGGTGCTCGCGCTGGAGGTTCTGGAGCCGCTGGAGGTACTGGTGCTGAGGGTACTGACACCGGAGGTTCTGGAGCCGTTGGGGGTGCGGGCGCTGAGGGTTCTGAGTCTGCTGCTGCGCGGTCTCCTTGGAGTGGCCGCCTTCGTCCACGTGTGCCTCTCACCCCACAGCAGCTGCAGGACTGGTACGGTCGCCGTCAGCGTCGTGCTGCTGGAGCTAGGAGTGGTGCTGGTCCTTTGTCTACTGGAGGTGCTGGAGTCGCTGGTTCTGGAGGTGCTCGTGCTGGAGACACTGAGGCTGGAGACCCTGGGACTGGAGGTGCTGGTTCTGGGGGTGCTGCTGCTGGAGACACTGAGGCTGGAGACCCTGGGACTGGAGCTTCTGGAGCTGCTGGAGGTACGGGAGCTGCTGGAGGTACTGGAGCTGCTGGAGGCACTGGAGCTGCTGGAGCTGCCGGTACTGGTGCAGCTGCGCCGACACGGCTGTTCTTCGCTCCGCCGTCTCCGTCGTCTCTGCCGCCGCCTGACTCTGCTCTTCGTCAGGTTGTTACTCTCCCGTCGTCTACTGGTCTTCCGTTACAGCCTGGCTCACCGCTGCCTGCTCCTTCTCCTTACACTGAGCAGACTGGGGGTCTTGCTGAGCGTCGTGAGCCTGCGTCGCGTCCTGTCTCGCCTGCTCGTCCTGGTCGTACCGGTCGTCGTGTTCCTCGTTCGCGTCAGCCGGCTGTCCCCAGCGCACGCCTCGTAGTCCGTCGTCCTTCCTCTACTCTGCAGCCTGTTCCTCTGCCGTCTCCCCCTGCGTCCTCTCTGCCTGCCGTTCCGGACCCTGAGTCTGACAGGTTTCGTACTGAGCACCCTACTGTCACGCGTCTCCTAGCCACTGTTGTCACTGACCCGTCGTTTGAGTCTACTGCTGCGTCTGCCTTGGTCGCTGAGCTTGTTGACTTTGCTGCTGCCTGTCGTCTAGACTACGCCGCTAGTCTTGTTGCTGAGTCTGAGTCTGTCTGTCCTCCGTCCGTCGGGGGTGAGTGTGCTCTTAGCACGGACGTCCTTGAGGACAGGCAGGAGGAGTTCCAGTGTCTTGCTGCTGCTTTACCTCATCTTGTGTCCTCGCTACTTGCCCCTGAGGGAGACCCGGATGCACCAGACATCCCGACTCCGCGCTCTTACGCAGAGGCGATAGAGGGTCCCTACTCCTCTCAGTGGCAGGCAGCCATGGACGCAGAGATGGCTTCCTGGAAGTCCACAGGCACCTACGTTGATGAGGTTCCCCCACCTGGGGCGAACATCGTCAGTGGCATGTAGATTTTCAGGGTGAAGCGGCCGCCGGGTTCTCCGCCTGTCTTCAAGGCGCGTTACGTGGCTCGAGGCTTCAGTCAGCGAGAGGGAGTTGACTTCTTCCAGACCTTCTCCCCCACCCCGAAGATGACCACTCTTCGGGTGCTGCTGCACGTTGCTGCTCACCGTGACTACGAGCTTCACTCTCTTGACTTCAGCACAGCTTTCTTGCAGGGTAGCCTGCACGAGGAGATCTGGCTGCGCCGCCCCCCGGGCTTCACTGGGTCGTTCCCTCCTGGTACCCAGTGGAGCCTCAGGCGGCCAGTCTACGGTCTCCGCCAGGCGCCACGTGAGTGGCACGACACACTGAGGACTACGCTTGCGGCTCTTGGGTTTGCGCCTTCTACTGCTGACCCGTCGCTGTTTCTGCGCACCGACACTTCCCTGCCGCCGTTCTACATCCTCGTGTACGTCGACGACTTGGTTTTTGCCACTGCTGACACTGAGGCTCTCGCCCACGTGAAGTCGGAGCTGCAGAAGAGACACACGTGCACAGACTTGGGTGAGCTGCGCAGCTACCTTGGCTTGCAGATCACCCGAGACAGAGCACGTCGCACCATCACCTTGACTCAGTCACACATGGTGCAGCAGGTCCTTCAGCGCTTCGGCTTCACCTGGTCTTCAGCACAGGCCACTCCTCTGGCTACAGGTCACACGCTCTCAGCTCCACTTTCGGACGAGTCCGTAGAGCCGAGTGGTCCTTACCCAGAGCTAGTCGGCTGCCTCATGTACCTGATGACTTGCACTCGACCTGACCTCGCGTACCCTCTTGGTCTCCTGGCTCGCTACGTGGCTCCTGGTCGGCACCGACCTGAGCACATGGCTGCTGCTAAGAGGGTACTGCGTTACTTGTGCAGCACATCAGGCATGGGGCTAGTGCTTGGAGGGACGAGCCCAGTTGTCCTCACTGGGCACTCAGACGCTTCTTGGGTTGACGACCTGGCTACTCAGCGGTCGTCACAGGGTTACACCTTCAGCCTTGGCTCTGGTTCAGTTTCGTGGCGTTCTACACGCTCGTCTTCAGTTCTCGGCTCTAGTTGTGAGGCTGAGATCTACGCCACCGCCATGGCTGCACAGGAGTTACGCTGGCTCACCTACCTGCTGACTGACTTGGGAGAGCAGCCTCGTTCTCCTCCAGTGCTGTACGTTGACAACAAGGCCGCCATTGCCTTGTGTGAGGAGCACAGACTGGAGCACAGAACGAAGCACATTGCTCTGCGGTACTTCCTGGCTCGAGAGTTGCAGCAGCGAGGCCAGCTTCGTCTTCGCCACGTGGCCACTCGGGCCAACACTGCTGATATATTCACCAAGGCACTTCCGTCTGGTGATCATCAGCGCTTTTGTACTTTGTTAGGCCTTGTGCCTACGTTTCCACACTTGCTGTAGTCTCTGCTTGTACTGTGATCTATATATATATATATATATATATATATATATATATATGCATGCTGGCTCTTGCTAGGTAGCCATCACTGTACTGTTATTGCTGCATATATATCTCTGCATGTGAACTGGCCCTGTGGCCCTTTGCTTGTGCTCGGAATGCGTGGTGACGTTGTGATCCACCCTGAGCTTGTTTTGCTTCTCTTGACTGGTCGTGTGACCTCTTGTTCTCCCCCACTTTGCCTATGGGGGTGTGTCAAACTATATGTGCTGCATATTGTCTAGGCTGTAGTGGGGTAGCCCATATGGGGTACAACCCAATTAGGGTTTACTACTTGTACTCCTGCATCCTGTTAGTTCAGCCATTCCTGCTGCTAGATTCTAACAAACCCCCCCATTACCGGTCATGAATCCCCCTGACAGAAGAGCATCCTCTACACTTCAGTGGGTCAGCTTCTGAAGGGGACAGCTCGGGGCAGATGGCAGGGGTCACATTCCTCGCGTGTCCTTCCACATCCTGGCACTTAAAGCCCTTGCCGCCCTCCACCAGCTGCAGGTTTATATCCGATAACGAAACACCCTTAAACGGGGATGCAGGCAGGCCGACGAGGCTGCCGGCTTGAGAAATGAGCGAGCCAGAGATGGAGGCAAAGGAGATGTTGGTCACGCGCGGCAGAGCTGATGGGTCAAAGCGGTCATCTGGGTGGCTGCTGCACGTTGGGAGGAAGGCCAGTGCTACAGTCACGTTCACCATAGTCACGTCCTGCACTAGCACGTCTCGGATGTACCCCCCTCGCCCAGGCGCAGTGCGCAGGTGGAAGGCTGCGAGCGAGTGGGAGACTGACAGGTGGTGAAAGCGAAGCGAGTGCACGCCGCCCGACATCTCGCTGCCGATGGAAAGGGCGGCGGCGAGCGGCGTCTGGATGTGGGAATGCAGAATGGTGACGGCGTGGGAGGGGCGGGCGAACGCCAGCCCATACTCGTCCCACCCACTCTTTATGCTGATGCCGCCCCCTCCGGTGGTTACCGTCACGCCCTCTATAAGCACATCCTCACTGGAGTCTGTGAGGGCAGGGAGGGATGTGTGGGATCGGTTATTAGTGGGGAGGAGGGGAGAGAAGGACGCATTGGCATGGATTAGTCTGCAGATAAAATCATGCCATAGCTATGCACGTGCATGTGCTGGGAAATGCTTTGAGCAGGGAATGACAGCCCCAGAGTTATGATGGATGTGTGATGTGAGCAGAGTATTGGGGAGTTACCGACGACAATCCCGATGGTGTTGGGCGAGTCAGGAGGCGCGGTGATAGTCACGTTGGACACCTGCACGTGACTGCATGCCACAACACAAGCACACACACGGGCGCATGCTAGGTGTGATTGGTGAGGGCGGAAAGAATGGAGACTGGCACAGTGAGGGAAAGTGCAGGGGCCTAGCTTGCAGGCACAACGACAAAAGGAAAGGAGTGGGGGCGAGAGGGCGGAGGGGCCACGGACGTGCAGTAGACGGGGTGCAGCGCCCAGGCGGGTGCATTAGCGAGAGTGACATTGGCGATGGTGACAGCAGAGCTCCACAGCGCCTCCACCACCGCCCCCCGCGAGTGCTGCAGCACCCCCCCTCGCTTCCTCGCCCACCACTCCGCCCCTCCCCCGTCGATCACCCCGTGGTCGCCTGCTCGGGCGGGGCGAGGGGGAGAGGTAGGGCGACATGGGGGAGGTGGGGAGGTCAGAGCGCGGTGAGGGAGGAGGGAAGGTCAGGTTGTGGTGGGGGAGGGGATGGGCGATTGCACGAGCTGCAGAATGTGGTGAGCAGGCTGCGCTACAGCTCTACGCATGCACGGGGGCACACACGCACCGGTGATGACGACGTCTGTGAGGTTGTGGCAGTGCAGCAGACTGCTGTAGCGCGGCCCGGGCATCTCTCTTCCGCGCCCGTACGATGGCAGCGCTGGTATCACCGGCCACAGTGATGGGTCCTGCACACATGCGGACATGCAGAAATGCGGGCAAGCACCCATGTAGGCATGGAGGGAAGGGTGATGGGAGGGTGACAAGGAGGCATGGGGCAGGGACGGCCACCACATTGCCACCTGCCACAACCGCCCACGAAACCAGCCAACAACCGCCCCTCGCGCCCCTTTACCCTTCTCCGCGCGCCTGCAAGCCTCCCCGCATGCAGCGCAGGCAACTCCCCTCCACATCCCCGCGCCCCTCCCCCAACCCCACGCGCGCGTACCGGGTTGCCGCGGATGGTGGCGCCGCGCGCGAGGAAGAGCGTCATGGCGGAGGTGAGGTTGACGCTGCCCGTCACGTACACGCCGGGCGGCACGTACAGCTGCCCGCCGCCCTTGTCCGCCACGCCGCTCACGGCGTACACGGCGTTCTGCAGCGCGCGCGTGTTGTCCGTCGCGCCGTCCCCCACGCCGCCAAAGTCCGCCAGGTCGAACACGTGTGGCCGGTTCGGCCACTGCGGCTTGCCGCCGCTGCTAACGCCGCTGCTGCCGTCGTTGCTAATGCCACTCTTGCCGCTACCGCGAGCATCGCTCCGGCTGTTACCGTGAAACACGCTGCTGGTATCGTCCAATGCACTCGGGTGAGACGCCTGTTCTGCGGTGTTACAAGCTTTCGTCGCAACGCCGCGCAGTGGCAGCGAGAGCGCGCCGACATCGCGATCCGCGTCGAGCAGTTGCTTCCTCTGCCAGCCGCCGCTGCCCGCACTACGCGCCTTTAAGTCGCCCGCATCGGCTGTCAGTGTCTCTAAATCGGCGCCTGCGGCCGCGTAAACGCTGAGAGGATTAAGGGTTAATGCGATCAGAAATGCTACATGCGCCACGGAGGTTAGAGTCAGCCGATTTCGGGGGCCAGGTGGACTCGACGCCATCAGCACACAAGGCAGGATAATAACTAAGATCACCCTCGAGCCGCACGGAATACTAATCGACCACGTGTCCCAACGCCACGTCATTCAGGTCACGCGAGCAAACAGCGAAGAGCATGTCGACAGCCCGCTGCGTGCAGTGCGGCGCGGAAAAAAAAAAAAATGGCAGGCCGATAAACGCACTCCCCTCTACGATAAATGTGCTGTGTCGATTGAAGCGAGGCGCCGAGGGACTACAGCGCTCATTTCCGCAAAAAGCTCAAGATAACCCCATGATCTGGGAGGCACGGAATACAAGCAACGACACCCTGGGAAGCAGGCAAGGGGGAAGGGCAACGGAGCAGGTGGCAGGCGAGCAAGGGCCTTGGTGGTGAACAACCAGACACACGTGGTCGGAGACAGCAACCCAGCCGACTAGGCGAACGGGGCGAAATGGAAAACGACTGTGACGAAGCGAGGTCCCGAGCTGGCTAGTTCCACTATAAGACATGCCCCACTTGTGGCATTCAGTGGATTATGTTTAAGACAAGTATTAGAAGATCAAGGGCCATTAGACTAGTATTGCCTATTTAAAGTTTCGCATGTCATGCCACAAGTTTATTTAAAACCCGCGGGCCAAGAAATTCAACGTTAGGAAGGTTGGTTGGGGCGAGCAACACAATTGGCCAAGATTTTGGGTGCGAGGGCCAACCTCAACCGAGGTTAGGAAGGTTGAACCAATTTGGGCCTTCTTGGCCCTCCGGTTTTAAGAATCGTTTGGCATAAACATTTTCATAACCAACGGGGAATGCTGGCCTGCTTTCAAACATGAGTACATCACACACAAAACATTGCTTGACCTACTTTAGCGAGTTCCAACGCCCCTTCCTCTCCTGGCACTCGCATCGCCCAGAATTCCCAAAACACCCAACCCTGCAAGCAATGCTCTCAACTTACCCACACAGTGATTTCAACCCCCTCCCTCCATTGCCTCATTTGCCACAAGCACCAGCACCACCGCATAATAACCCAGCACCCTACCTCCCCAAACAACCCATCACCCATTCACCAATCTGGCAACAACCACCCACCAATTTGCCAACCCACACATCCTCACCCATCCCCAATAACCCAGCACCCACCCACACCAAGCCCCCACCATCCATCCACCCACCAACCTCTTCACAGCAAATGACCCATCTAGCCACTCGCAAACCCTCTCACCCATCCCCAATAACCCAACACCTACCCACACCAAACCCCCCAGTAAACAAAAACCAACATGCCCACAAACCCACCTCAACCACCCACCACTCCTCAGTCAGCCTCTCACCACACCGCTCACCCACCCTCCCACCTGCTCACCCACCCACCCCCAACCCAAGTCACCACCCACACACCAACCCAAGGAGTTTCACCCCCTTCCCTCTCTCCCACCCAACCCAAGGGGTTTCTACCTCTTTCCATCTAATTCACCCAAACCAAGGGGTTGCTGCCCCCTTCCCCTCTCTCTCACCCACCCAAGGAGTTCCAACCCCCTTCTCCTCTCACTCACCCACCCAAGGGGTTCCAACCCCCTTCCATCTAATTCACCCAAACCAAGGGGTTGCTGCCGCCTTCCCCTCTCACTCACCCACCCAAGGAGTTCCAACCCCCTTCCCTCGCACTCACCCAACCCAGGGTTTCAACCCCTCACTCTCCCACCTAAGGGGATTTAGCCCCCACTCTCCCACCCAAGGGGATTCAGTCCCCACTCTCCCACCAAAAGGGGACTCAGCCCCCACTCTCCCCTATACCCGGACCCCTCCCACCATTACATGCAAGCAGTAGGAGCAGCAAACAGCCCATTACCTCAGGAAAACAGCACCCCAGGGGCAAGGTGAGGTAGTGGAAAATTGCTTCCAGCCCAAGACTCAAATCCCACCCCTGACGTAGCTAGAGCTGACGCGAACCAGAGCCGCCGGCCGGTCGGCTCTGACGGTGTCCATTAGGCCTTGCACGTCAGATCAGGAACCTGAGCACCGAGTGCCGTGCCGCGCAGATTCCACCCACTTCACCCCACCCACAAGACATAAACCCCATAGGATGCTGCCCCTAAGGCAGAGAGCTGCCCACTGCTCCCATGCTCCCCCCCCACCCCACAGATCATCCCCATGCATCCTTAACTGTACTTACCACAGCCGTGCAGAGCGCTATGATGCAGCTGGTAAGTGGGGAGAGGGGGGGTTAGTGAGGAGGGGGACTCCTCCGTGGTCTAGGCAGGGTGCTGCTGGGAGGAAAGGGAGAAGGGAAAGAGGAGAGAGGAGGAGGTGAGTAAGCAGGTGGACTCCACTCTCTGCCCTTGCTCACCACCCTCAGCCTGCAGGTGAGAAAGGGGATGAGAAAGGAAGGGGAGGGGATCAGATCAACACACCTCACCTGGTACCATACCAAACCTTACCTCGCTCACTCACACCATGCCTAACCTAACCTCCTCTCCAGCTCCCCATCCCCCACTGCTGCTTCGTTGCTGCTTCTGCTGCTGAAACTGCTGCCGGTCTGCTACTCTGCTTCCTCTGCTGCATTCTTCGTTTGATGCCAAGTGACCTGGCGGCGGGCAGAAAAGGGGGGGAGGGGCACAGGAGAGGAAGGGAAGGAGGTTAATGATGTGACATGAACAGAAACAGTGAAGTCAACAGAAAAACACTTTAGACCAAGTCTTCCGATTTTAATCCTTCCGAGTCTGTTGCCACTGCTGCTTCTTACGTGCAATCTCCTCCTCTGGGCTCGTTTCTCTGCTGTGTGTTCTTCTACGAAAGACGTATCCGTATTTGAGAGGCATTGACCATGGCGGTGTGTCGTAGGGAGGTGCCGTGCGAATATGGATCTGCCTTCTGAGCCGTCTCAGAATTTGCCTCACCATGGCTGAGCGGTAAGTGGTTGGGCGGGTTTGTTGGGGGGCAGAAGTGTCTAGGTCGCTGCGAGGCAAGTGTCTTCGAGTCAGTTTCTGTTTCTTTCGAGTCTGTTTCCTTCGTTGCTACTGACGCGCTCTCGTCTATGCTTTGTTTTCTGCTGTGCTGGCTGCTCTGGTTTGAGTGCCCTGTGTGTGGGATGGGCTAGGAGAGGATCAATTAAGGGTCAGGCAAACGAGTTCCGAGCAGCAGCAGTAGCAGCAGCAGTTGCTTCTTCAAGGGGGAGAGGGGGGAGAGAAGCTGTATTACTGTGCAGTACGGTAAGCTGTTGACCACATCTGTCGGGGATTTAAGAGCTGCCTAGGTCGCCATGCGGCAAATCTTAGGAATGATTTTCGATTCTTTCAAGTCTGTCCCGCTGCTGCTTCTCATCCACTCCACACTCCCCTCTGTGCTCGTGTCTGTGCTGTGTTCCATGCTGTGCTGCTGGTGCCACCTGCACTGAGGCCCAAGGGCACATCAACATTCTTGCCAAGGGGTGGTGCTTTCTCGTAGAGGAGGTGCTGTGCGAGTGGGGATCCTCATCTCTTTCTCCGGAGCATGGCAGACAGTAAGGTAAGTCCTTGGGCGGGTCTACTGTGGGGGGGAAAGTGTCTAGGTCGCCGCGCGGAAAGTCTTAAAACTAATTTATGCGTCCATTTCTTCTGCTGCCCTTGACGCACTCTCATCTGTGCTCGTGTCTGTGCTGTGTTCGCTGTTGTGGTGCCGGTGCCTCCTGCTCTGAGGCCCAAGGGCACAGCAACATTCTTGCCAAGGGGTGGTGCTGCTGTGCGAGTGAGGATGCTCACCCCATAGCTCGGAGCATGGCTCACCATGGCAGTATGGTAAGTCGTTATGCGGGACTATTGGGGGGGGCAAAAGAGTCTAGGTCGCCGCGCGGCAAGTCTTAGAATTGTTTTGTGCTTCTTGCGAGTCTGTTTCATGTGCTGCTTCTGATGCTCGTTTCTCTCCTCTGTGCTCGTTTCTATGTTGTATTCGCTGCTGTGGTGGTGATGCCTGCTGCACTGAGGACGAAGGGCACATCAACAGTCATGCCATGGGGTGGTGCTTCTCAGAGAGGTGCTGTGCGAGTAAGCATCCTCACCACATGCCTCGCCACAGCAGTACAGTAAGTCACTTGGCAGGTCTATTGGGGGGGCAGAAGTGTCTAGGTCGCCGTGCGGCAAGTCTTAGAATCGATTTTTGTTTAGTTCAAGTCAGTATCCGCTGCTGCTCCTGACGCTCTCCTCTCTGCTCGTTTCTGTGCTGTGTTCGCCGCTGTGGTGCCGGTGCCTCCTGCGCCGAGGCCCAAAGACATAGCACCATTCTTGCCAAGGGATGTGTTAAGATAGCAAGCAGGAATGGAGGAGCCATAGCTAGGGTTTAGCTAGCTAGGCAAGAGAGAATAGGCAAAAGAGAATAGGCAAAAGAGGGGTTTCACTAGCAAACAATGGGATACATATAGCAAACCCTAACAGGGTTGTACTCACTATAAAGTACCCCACTGCAGACTAGAGAAATATAACATTCTGACACACCCCCATAGTCAAAGTGGGGTATAATCAGTACAGCAAACAGTCGCACAAGAAGTTCACAAGCACAAGCAGAGCTAACGGCAGTCACATAGGGCAAGTGAGGAGGAGGATTGACTGTGAGAGGAGAGAAGATTGGAGGCGGCGGCTGAAGCTGCTGGCACACGGGCTACCGAACGCTCGAGGGCATCCGGACTACTGGAGCAACTGGCACACTGGCTACCGGAGCAACGCGTGAGGGCATCCGGACTATTGGAGTAACTGGCTCCGCGGCTACGACGAGCGGCTGGAGCAACGGACCCACGGGCAACTGGCGCAACGGGCTCGCTGGCTACCGGAGCAAGGACACGACCTTCCCGGACTACTGGCGCTGCTGGCTCCACAACGGCTACCTCCGTTCAACCCTCCCCCACTCTCGAGACCCCCTTTTCTCACACCCCCCATGCACCCCTAGCTCCACTCCCACGGCACCCCCCTAGCGCCAACCCCAATGCACCCCCTAGCGCGACTCCTTCGGCTCCCACACTTCCACCCCCCTCAGCGGCAGCTGCAGTAGTGGGAGACGGAGGAGGAGGAGGAACAGGGGAGGCCTCACACACTCGTCACCCCCATACTCACCATCCCCCCACTCGCCACCTGCGGGGAG